CCCGCCAACCTGCACGCCGCGCAGGAGGTGGGCCGCCGCGTCACGCAGATCTTCACACACTCCAAAACTAACATCAACCTACAGAACATATTCAAGAAGAAAACGTAACGTAAGAGAACTGAAATTTTAAAACAAAAAAAAAATCGTACAGTCAGATGCATAAATGTACACTTGTGAATGCCTTCGGTTTATAGAATGATACTTATCTGACCGTACACTTCGTATAAAAGCTTTTAACGTTTATATAAATATTTAAGCTGACTGTACTTTTAACACTCTGGGGTACACAGGCTATTTGAAAACAAAAAATAAACGGTACAGCCATCTTAAACATAAAATTGAATATGTCTGCGGTTCCATATAACAACATGCACTTAACCCTTATAATTTTGACCTTGATTCCGTAATATACAAATATCTAAAACATTCACTAATATAATAAAGAGGAAGAAAGGATTTGCATTTTTGTATGTAGTGAAATAACTCAAAAACTACGGGGCCGATTTTAAAAATTTTACCATTAAAAAGCTAGTTATTAGTGAGTAACAGGTAACACATATTTTATAATTTTTTTAAATTTACGCTGGCGAAGTCGCAAGTAAAAGCTAGTGTTTATATAAATATTTATGCACCTGACTGTACTTTTATCACACTCGGTAGTAAAATATAAATTCTTAATGTTTTCGATCAAATTTTAGTTTGTGAATAATGTATGTTGCTATTATTTCTTTCTACATAATTTATTTGGACATTTTTATGACAATATTTAAACCATCATCATAGAATTTAAGGTATAAAAATATGGTTTTCATTATTGTTATAAGGTGCTTAATGTACTTAGGTTTATGTCACAAATGACCTGAATATTCAAATCTCAATACAAATAAAAGTAATAATATGTTTGCAGCGTAACGAATTTAATGTTAGTAATGTGAATGAATGAGTAAACGAAATTGAAATGAAAGAACGAATTTAACCATTTTGAGATTAAATTGAGATTGATTGATAAACTGATAAACTACATAATTGAAAGGCCTACATTTTTTGTTGTCGCGGGGAATGCATTTACACACTGCACCATCCGTGCTGCGGAGACAGCAGGGGTAGTTTCGTGTGGGACTCCTGGCCTTATATTTCAGCCGGACTACCCACTAAACCCCGCGGTGTTCTTCGCCCAACCGGGCCGTGGCATCTACGTTAGTTTATCCACGACCAAGCTAGGGGGAGCCCCTTGGTAGGGGCTCGACGCATGTAGGAAGGGGTCAGTTGTTAAAAGGCCTACATTTAAATATCACCTTTAAGCTCATGTGGTCTAAAATATGAAGCAATTAATGCTTTTTATGGACGTTATATTTTAGTAGTATAAATTAATAAATAAAAAATATTATTATAGAAACATCACGTCAAATAAAATCAATATCTTAAACAACAATATCTTATTTAATTCTATTAATCACGTATTTAAAAAAACTATACTCGCTTCCTATATCATAAGATTTATTTAAAAAAAAAAGTGTTTATTTTAACTTTCTCAAACTAACAGAAGTACTTAATTATTTTTATATGAACAGTACAAAATAGTGCAATAAATATGTTAAAGTATGAGTATTACATTGTACATAAAATTAATAATAAAGTTGTCAAATCATAATATTTTATCAATAGATTTCAGACAATTTTGACGTGTACGAGCGGGCGATCACCTTTTGACTAATCTATCGCACAACTGTTGTACGATTGTCGAATGTTTCGCAGCCAATTCAACTGTTTAATTGCACAACTAAAAATCGAGTAGTGTGCGCACCACCATAGCATTTCATTAGGATTAAACAGTTCTGCTATAGTTTAGTCAAAGGTGTGCACAAACTCTAATAGAGAGTCGCTTTCGAAATGTGATTAGTGCGCGTGACTCAAAACCTCAGTAAAATGCCCCCAAAGAACATTTTCGCCTAGCTTTTTTTACTCCGGATTACCTATCTATGAATTATAAATCTATGATTTTGATGTACTCTATATGTGTCATGATTTTCGCTTACTAAATACTATGAAATAAATTTACCCACATTCCAAAATAACTTTGTTATTGGTAAAATAATATAGAAGAAATAGGTGCTTGCGTTTTTTTTTAATAAAGTTGTTTTGTGTTATTGATATAATGTAATAAAATTCCTTAAGTGCATTAAAAATATTGCTGCGTTTGAATTTTTTTAATGTCAGCGTTTTTGTATGTACTTATTGACCGACTTCCCAAAAGAAGGAGGTACTCAATTCGTCTGTATGTTTATTTTTTTTAAAAGAGTGATCATTATTTCAATTATTTACGCATTTATTTAATGAACTGTCTTAATGAAATGCATTCATTAAATGATTAAATTAATTTTTCTCTAGAATAAGGTGAACAATCAATTTTTTATCAACTTTCACTTTAATTATTGTGTTTAGAAAAGTCCTCTATATTTGTAAACAGGCTTATTTGGATAAAATGAGGTGGTGTTATTTGTAATTATATTATAGGCAGCTTCGACACAAAGTTTTGCTTCACCCTTTTTCAGTAACTAAGACATTATCTAGATGTTAAAATATACTCATTTAATGTATATCTATTGTTAATTTATTTGTGAATCTCTAATGTGAACTAAAAACCCATAACAAATGTTTAATAGAAATTGTTATAAAAATGATTGATATTTTCCTAAATTATATCATTTAGTAGCTGTTGGATACAGGTTGTGTCATAAAATAATTAATGTAACAATGAAATATATGTTTTTGAATAAAAAATTGTTTTATTTCAACATAGCTGAGAGTAAGATACGCCGTAAAATAACTGCGCCTTTGTGATATACAAAAAAAAATAAACTTGTTTCGGACAAAATACCAAGGCAAGTAGACAAGATACCCTTTGACTTCAAAGAAAACGATACCAATTACGTTAAACATGTTTAGAAAACAAAAAAATACTATTATTGTTCTCAAAGAGATTTCGTGTTTGCAATAAAAATCTTTTGAATTTTCATGTCGCTATACTTTTGTCTTTTATAATCTGCCAAATAGTCAAATAGTAAATCTTCTGTCACTTGAACTGTCAAAAAACTTTGCAACTCACCGGCATCCGGAATCCGGTTTGTTCACCTGTCAAGTTCTCGGTTTTTTGTCAATACATCAAAATTTTCTTGATTCACCTTGGTTGGTACTAGTGAGTTACGTCGATAAACTCCCCCGATATCTCTTGAACGAGGAGATTATCACAGTTACTTTAATTTAACACGTAATAATATGTCTGAGAAACATTTGCAAACCGGTAAGTCGATAGTGTTTTATTCCAGCGAAAGTAGGTATTTCACAAGATTCTTATTTCTTATTGGATTTTTTGTTAACAGGCGATGAACTGCCGGCGTTTGGTGAAAAATTGCGTTTATTCGCTATGAGATTTTGTCCCTATGCTGAAAGAAGCATTTTGGTTCTGAATGCCAAAAAAATCCCTTATGATCACATATTTATCAATCTCGATCAAAAGCCCGAGTGGATTTTTAATTTCAGCCCGAAAGGTAAGGGATTTTTAAGAAAATGTTTTCCTAATTGTTTAACATAACTAAAAAATAGTAAAATGATATTCCTTTGATATACTGTTTCCACCAAGTTTTGGTATTTAATGTTTGTTTTATATTGCGAATCATATAATTGATCTATTAAAAACTAGCTGTCGTCCGCGTGGAATAAAAAGCAAGTATTCCTGTGTTCTTTCAGCCTATCCTCTACATCTATGCCAAATTTCATGGAGATCCATTAAGCCGTTTAGGCTACAAACACTAACAAACATCCATCTATCCATCATAACTTTCGCATTTATAATATTTATATGATATGATATATTTGATTATGAAAGGTGATTGATCTAGTAGTAATTAGTATTAATGTCAACTTGACAACCTTCCAGAACATAAATGCCTGTACTTTGTTTCTTTTACCAATTAGAATGTGTTCCAATTTTGTAGTTATCAATTATGTTTTCACATGCATTACTATTTTTAGGAATGTAACAAATGATATGAATATTAAATGTTGAGCAATATTTGGTTTTTGATAAGCAACAGATAAAATACAATCTATAAGGTTATCTGTATCTCCCGTGTCTTGTTAAAGTATAACTCATTGATGGAAATGATAATTTTTTATAATAAGTAGAATAATATGTTTTGTAAAAGTAGGGAAAATGATCAATTTATTAACAACCATAACAACTAAAAATAGAGCATATAATTTGGAAATAGCTATAAAATTCATTATTTAAAGTGTCCTTATTTCTTGTAATTATTTATTATATATCATTATATTTTACTCTGTATAGGCACAGTACCGGCTCTAGAATATGAACAGGGAAAGGGAATCTTTGATAGTAACATTATTAACTATTACTTGGATGAGAAATATCCAGAGGTGTCTCTGCAGCCCACCAACCCCCTCCGTAAGGCTCAAGACAAGATGCTAGTTGAACAACTTACTGGGGTATGTCTGCTTCAATAAACTTAATTTGTTTGTTCTTAACACATTCAGTGTGAAAGACAAACAGTGGAGCCTTGCTTGTAACATAGTCATAGTGCTAAGTATTAATACTTAAACAAAAATTTATTTTTAATTATAAGCACTGCTTACAATACATGAGATGTTAAAATTTTATTTGTTGTTTTGGGATTTGGCAGTTAATGTGTTAGTTATTGTTTATATTTTTTTGTAATTACACAGATTTTTACATATAAAGTGCTTTAGGACAAGCTTATTTATATTGATTCTTTCCCATTTGTCGGTTTTTTGAACTTATAATATGGGAGTCTAATTCTCTTTGTGAACATTTATATTTCACTGAATCTTCTGATAACAAATAAAGTATTTCTTCTTGTTATGAATGAGAACTAATAAATAGTCATAATTTTAGGCTCAATCAGCGTACTACACTGCCGCATTTAATTCGCCTGCTCTGGAGCCATCCATGGTGGAAACATATCACAAAGGCCTTGAAATAGTACAGAAAGAATTAGAAGTCCGTAATACCAAGTTCTTGCATGGTGATGAACCTGGTTTGGTTGATTATACCATCTGGCCATTCTTGGAACGTTTTGAAGCCTTGCCGTTGTTGGGCAAGCAGGAGTTTGCTATTGACAAATCTAAGTATCAAGGTTTGGTGAGTGAAAATTGTTTTTAATTACTCTTTAAAAATTTAAAATAAATTAATTTTATTCATAACAGTAGACTTAGACAATTTGTATTTGTGTTTCAATTTTTTAATTTATAAAGTATCTGCTACTTGCAGCGTTTATGTGAATCTAGCTGTCGCACACGACTTTGTCCGTGTGGAATCTTAAAAAAACTTCATCAGTACCCAATCGTTTTCCTAGACTATAAGTATAGTAACAAACAACCATCCATCCATCTAAACTTTTGCATTTATAATATTAGTAAAAAGTAAGATTATCGTAACATAAGTGATAAGCTGTTTTACAATGATTATTTTATTTCATCATCATCCACTTGCCCTTATCCCTTATGGAGGGTCGGCACAGTATGTGCTGCTCTTCCATACATCTCTATCAGCCGTCATATCTGAATCCACTCCTTTCTTAAGCATATCTTCCTTCACACAATCCATCCATACTTTCTTCGGTCTTCCTCTTCCTTTGTAGCCATCCACATTCAATCTCAACACTTTCTGGTTTATGTCCCCATCATTTCGTCGCATAATATGTCCATACCACGCTAACCTTTTGCTTCTCAATTTCTCCACCACTGGCGCTACTTTCAAACTTCCTCTAATGTACACATTCTTAACTTTATCCAATCTTGTCACACCACACATCCATCTTAACATACGCATCTCAGCCACATGCAATCTCCTTTCATCCGCAACTTTGGTGGCCCAGCATTCAGATCCATACAATACGACAGGTCTTATGATGGACTTGTAGATCTGTCCCTTAAGCCTAAGAGGCATTCTTGGATCACAAGTCACACCAGTAACCTGTCGCCATTTCATCCAACCTGCATTTATTCGGCTTTTTACGTCTCGGTCAACGCCACCGTCGGACTGGACTAGAGAACCGAGGTACTTAAAGTCGGAGCAGGTTGGTAGAGGCATAAATGATTATTTTATTTGACTAACTTAATAGATTAAAATGATTTCAGACGAAATACATTGAAGAAATGAAAAATGTGCCAGCGGTGAAAGCATATTATTTGTCTCCGGAGACTCATGCCAAATATATTGAATCCAGAGCTAAGGGAAATCCAGATTACAATATGTTGGATACCAGCGCTGTGTGCTGCATGCGTCCTAGGAAGAAGAAGGAATAGATATGAAACTAATAACATTTTTATTGTATATGCATTTAAAATGATCCCTTTAAAAGACAATTTGTATTTTTTTTTATCATAGCTTCCGTTCAGTACCTTTTAAATGCTTTTTCTGTTCCTGAATGTTTAGTGATTCGAAATTTTAATTTGAAAAATTTGCTTTGTTATGGATACAAATTAAAAATATCTATTTTAGTAATTGTAATAAAAGTACAATTTATACTTTTATATTTTTGTGTTTTATTTGATATTTACCTGAGTATTGTCTTCAGCATATCGATAATGGGTTTATTAAAAAATATATGGAGAATACTAATTAATTTTACATACATATCTGTAACATTTTGGAATAATTAATGACAGTCAAAAAGTGAATATTTCAATACTGTGGTACAGAAATCAATTGGTATTTGTGTAAGTCAACAAAAAACTGCACTGTTGTTGCTTTTGCATTGATACATGCTGTCTCTGTCTTTTTAAAAAGGAATAAAAGAGTTAAAGGGACGTTACAAATGTTTGTACAACAAAAACCGAGAACAAATTCAAGAAAGTCAGCACAATATAAGTGTGCTATATTTTGGCGTAGTTATATTAAAAAAACGTAATATTTTTATTGACAAAAGCAATCGTATCAATCGCAGTTTTCAAGGTTATAAAACTGCGGCGTCATTCTTTCGCAGACGAACACTAAATTTATCTTTATTTAGTGTTTTGCATATTTTAATCAACATGATAACTAGTACCTTAAGTTTCGCCATGCATATACTTTTGTCGTCATATAAAATTCTAGAACCAGTCAGGCAAGTCGTCGAATACGTATTGCCTTATACTTACAGAAAAATGGCAAACAAGGCGATCAAAGGAGGTGTAAATTTCAATGGAAAACATTTGAGAAAAGGTAAGCTGCACATAATTCCTCATTTCTATTATTCCTATAGTACTAAATAAACAATTACTTTGTTTGGAACTTTCCTATTTTCATTTTCATAGGTTAAATTAAGATGATGATGATTTTCATAGGTTAAAAATAAAGAAGAATTAAACTATTGCATAGTCGCCTATAAGGTCTTGAGCGATCATATATTGCCTTAGCAATATAAATTCTTAATCATTTACAACATATTTTCTTCGAATATAATGATTTATCACAATTTTACAAATGGTTCTCGCGAAACAAAAAAGCGCCAAATTCAATTAAGACGCGCGCGTTCTACAACAATAGAACATTAACAACAGAAAAAATGGTCATTTGTAAATAGCACTCGTATAATTAAAATAGTGATAAGTATAATTAATAATTAATAGCACTAAGTCAGCATATTTTAATCCTGATTAGGCTTAGTTGTTAATGTAATCACTTTTTAACTTCTGGTGGAATTACAATAAATTTTTTCTATTTTTCCAGGTGATGCATTGCCGCCTTACAATGGAAAATTACGTATCTATAACATGCGTTATTGTCCCTACGCACAACGAACTATTCTAGCGCTGATTGCAAAAGACATTGACTTTGAAGTGGTCAATGTGCACACGCAGGATAAACCAGAATGGCTTACCCGTAAAAGTGCCTTTGGTAAGAAACCCTAAAATTTCTCTACTTATACATGAAGTTTTCTGAAAAGATAACTTAAATGTCATCTACAGAGAGACTTCCAGCTTGCCTTACACTGGTCAATTTCATCCCATAGAGGTTTTTAAACCAAGTTTTTCACGATTTTATTAAATTTACAGGCAAAGTCCCATCACTGGAAATAAAAGAAGACGTTTGTATTTACGAGAGTTTGGTAACGGTGGAATATATAGATGAAGTTTATTCTCAAAGACCGTTATTATCGAAGGATCCAGTAATAAAAGCTTACGACAAAATCATCGTTGAAGCTGCTGGACCTGTACGTATGAACAGTACATATAAACATGATAGTACTTAGAATGGAGGAATGGTTACTTAAACATGAATGAATTCTTTTTAGTTGCACACCATGTTCTTCAAACTGGTGAAGGCTCCGGAAACGATCACGGAAGATAATATTAATGCTTACAAGAAAGCATTGATTTTTATTCAAGAACAGTTGAAGAGTAGAAGTACTGCATACTTCGGTGGCGATGAGCCCGGCTACGCGGATTATATGATATGGCCTTGGCTAGAAAGACTTTACGCTCTACAAGACAAATATGAAACGGCCAAATTTGATGGAGCTGAATACAAGCTATTGGTAAATATAATAAAAAATAACTTTACTGTAATTATATTTCTGGTACAAATAGGCATACGCCTAGGTTACTTCCCATTAGCTGGTCTTTTATTATGATGCGTAATTTTTAAAAATTATTGCCTAAAATTTCGAATTACTAAATGTATTTCTTGTTGTCAGTTTCATTCTTAACATTAACGGTTCATTAAAATACAAACTTTTTTTTTTTCAGAATGAATATGTTGCCAATATGCTCAATGATCCAGCAGTCAGCATTTATTTGGTGCCTAAAGATGTGCTGCTGAAAGTTTACGAAGCGTACAAAACAGAGAAATTTCCCGATTACGATCTTTTAACACAATAAAATCTTTTTGTTTAACAATCCAATGTTATTAAAAATTAAAAGCATTTTATATCTTATGGTTTTATTTAGAAATAAAACGAAAAAATGAAAATAATCCTTTTATGCTAAAACTTAATTTAGATCACCTTACGGTGACGTTTTGTGATTGTCACAAAGCACAAGCATATTTTCTTATATAATTTAAATATCTATGAAGTATTTTAATGTCTGAACTCGAAAAAAAAAACAATTGGAGATAGCCTAAATATTTTTTTCAATAAATGCAACAATTTTTGAGATGTAATCAAGTGTACATTAGTCTACTTTAAAATTGATTTGTACCTGGACGTAATTATGAAGACATTAAAGATCTATTTACTTATTACACTTTATTTAGTTTTTTTCTTATAATAATCAAACACGATTATTGTCAGTCGATTGCTTATCCTAAGTCACTTATGTATTACAATAAAATTAAGTAAAATAAATAGAAAGATAAAACCTCGTAAAACTGAAAATATTCATTATAGAATTAGTATTTAAGTGCTTTTTTTAATAAAAAAATATTTTCAATTTTAAGTCAATTGAAAACTAGTACACACTAAATAAGAAATACGAAAATTAAAAGATGAGTTAAGTTTTAACCAATAAAGTCAAAATTGAACAATCAAAATATGCTAAAAACATAGAAAATGATCATTCAGAATAAACCTATATTCCCTTAGCTTGGATTAATCAGTTTTGAACTCCGCTGCTAAGGCTTCTAATTGTGTTATTATTTCTTTTAAATCACGGTTTTTATCTATTTTTAAATATGTTGTATTTCTAATTTCATGCAATTTGATCCAATCGGGTACTTTTTCTGTTAACAATTTGATATCTCTTTGTAGATCGGTTGCGGAGGTTTTATAACTACAGTCTAATTTGGAAAGAACAATGTTTAGGGCTAGAACATTTTTCCGTTCAGATACAAATACATTTCTTATTGTTTTAGCTAAATCCGGTAAGCCACTGTAAATGTAGAATTGTTGTTCTTTTTCTGTTGTTTTCATCATTGATTGTAAGGCTTTAGCTGCTTGTTTTGCTTTAACTTTTTCTAATAAACTTGTAGGTAATCCTTTAAATGCGGGATTTAAAAATGTAGGTGGATTTTGACTAGTTTCTTTCGTAGAAGTACTTGGCATATTATCAGCAACAGGCTTTTCGGTTTGTTCATTCACTTTTGCTGCCGTTAATTTTTCTAAAGCTTTACCCATCTTCGGATTGCATTTAAATAATTCGCGAGCTTTAGCAAGGACGTCTTGAGCTGAGGTTATCTTCTCAGCATTTGGCATCTCTGGTAATTTGGCACATGGAATTTCAGGTAATTTCTCAATATCGAATTCCGGATGCCAACGAACTAATTTGTCTTCAGGTATTTCCATCGGAGGGTCTAGGGTTGATAGGAATAGCGCATGGTTTTTCTTCACCATTTGGAGTAAGGTATTGAAGAAATATCTTCGTCTCTCTAACAGAACACTTAAGTTCATTGTCTTAATTTCATTAGGGAGATTCGGTGATATTACCAATTCATATGTCTCCTTTTGACATGAAGCTGTGAAGCTTCTAACTTTCTCAACACTGTAATTATAAAAGTCTGGTACTAGATGTTTGATTTGCGCTAAATGTTTTAGTGTAAATCTTCGTTTGAGCATCTCTTGGATTGAAGGTTGTAGTTTTGTGAAGGTGATTTTTTCATTTCTACTGTACAGCATGCCTACAATTGTTTCCATGCTTCTGAAGAGTTCTCCAACAAATCTGTATTGGTAGGGAAGCGGGAGACTGCTGTGAGACTCGGAGGCAGTTGAAGAGCTTAATGATGCAAATTTAATAAATGCCGGCACCTGGAAATCAACAAAATAATAAGCATATAATATGATATAAATAAAATTCATAAAACTAAATATATTTTAAAATTTACTGAAAAGCTGGTAGAAAATGGTCATTCAGGTTTTTTTACTTTCTATTAACATTTACTTCTTGAAATTACCTCCAATTACCCTTCTTATGTAGACTTTTTAGGAATAGTTTATGTCATACAAGTTATTAAAAGTTCAAAAGTTAGGGTAGAATTGTCTAGTTACAAAATAATTCTTTGTCTCTCAGTGTATTATGCTGTATGTTTGTATTTAATTTTACCTTATTAGGGCTCTTGATGGGGCTGACAAGAACTTTTCTTGGTGAGATAATAGGTCTTTGTATCTGGACTTCTGATTTTGCCTCCTTCTTAGGTGTTGATAAACCCTTGTTAACTTTACTTGAACTGAAAGGAAAAGAACATTTTATATCAAAATTTAACCACATTTTAAGCTCCAATTGGGATAGTACAACAGTTATATGAAATAATGGGATTTAGTATACAATTGGGCAAATGTAATATACAAAACATAAACATAACTCACCTTACAGGTACGTCCACATCAATTGACTTAAATTCTTTTAGGTTTTGTTTATGTTTTCCTTCTAAGCATTGTGGAATACTTTTACTAAGACGTTCAGCAGTTGCTTTTATTTCCGCGAGTCTAGAGCTACTAGCTAATTTCTTTCGTATCTCTCCCAAACTTAATTCCTTACGAGAAGAATTCAATGAAACTGATGGTTTAGTCCCCAAGCTTAACTCCTTTCGAGCGGAACTTGTAACCTTTTCTGAAGGAATAGAGGGTTTAGCTCCCAAATTCAACTCCTTACGAGCAGTACTCAATGAGACTGTTTCTGAAGAAATCAATGGTTTAGGTATATTGTTAGCATTAACTTTTTTAGCAAATGCTTCAACTTGGTTTGTTTTTATAAGGCCATTTGAGGTAGTTGTATGGCATTCTGTTTTATCCTTTTTATCCGTCTTCAACACTTTTGTACTGGTAAAGTTGGCCTTCAAGTTATTATTGTCCACATCATTATTCTTAAGTGATGAATACTTTCGTTCACTTTCTTTGTGGTTATCTGGAATACGCTCAATATGAGCTAGTTTATGCTTTGTATTTACGAGATCTTCTGATGCTGGCCGTTTTCGACTATTGAAAAACGTCGTAATAGTCGTCTGAGCCATGATTAAACTTTCTTTATATAAATTTTATGCAACTTTCAGGTATGTTTAACAAACGGAATTCCCTCCAAAAGTATTTATTTTTGACAACTTCTTGATGTTGAGCTCTAGTCAAAGACAATGTTAAACCATCAACTCAAAAGGTCAATGCAGATTATTTATTTTTGGAGGATTTTTTTAAAAGAATGTTCTCTTTTTTATATTTATCATTATGTGAAGAAACAAAATTCTTTCTGTTATTTAAACCGATAAACCATAAGTACAATTTATCTAATTAACTATCCATGTTATAAAAAGATTAGATTTGTGCTAAACGTATAAACATGGTAGGTATGCATAACAAAAATTCAACCAAAACGGTCGATTGTCGTTTATGGAATTGAACCCAGACCTACGTTCTTATCGTAGTTTTACAGACATACCTATTTACAGTTTGACAAACCTCCGGGTCATATACCCACGAATGGTAACGTTTCACATACATGTTAAATAGCAATTCTATCTTACATGGAACATTTTAGAGTTGCGAAATTATTTTTTTATTAAACAACAACATTTTTAACGCAACTAAGCCCGTAAGTGTAATTACTCTATCAATGTTTATTCTATATTGTCATTTAAACAATCATGGCAGTCATGGACGTTTTTGCAAACAACATAGAAGTATTTTTATTTAACAAGTATAGAGAAAAGAAACGAAACAACTTTCTCGCAATTAAGACGAATCTGTGCCTAAACATGATTTAATTTATACAGTAAATCAGTAAAGTATCATATGAATCAAGTAGGTTTATAAATTATTTCTTTGCAATGGCAAAAGGTGCTTCCGTCAAAACTGACAATAAAAAGAGTATTTTGGTCGTACCAAGTCGAGTTGTTAGCAGACGAGACAATTTAGCAGGCGGCGAAGAAACTGAAATTACAGCCCAAATATCTGTTCCACAAGAAGGAGGTTGGGGATGGGTAGTTGTTGCAGCAAGCTTTTTGAGTATTTTTATACTTGATGGTGCTTCTTTCACATTTGGAAGTTTTCTGAAGGATATGAGTAAAGATCTAAATGAGCCAGAATCACTCATAGCATTAATAAATTCAATAGCAATTGCTCTTTACTTCATCGGAGGCCCATTTGCTTCGGCTTACATAAATAGATTTGGATTTCGAGCATGTATTATGTCAGGATCAGTTATTTGTGCCTTTTCTCTGTTTGCAACGTATTTTACAACTGATTATGCAACAGTATGTGTATTTTACGGTGCTATGGCAGGGATTGGTTACTGTATGATAAATTTGTCGTCAGGTTTAATTGTTGGATTTTATTTTGAGAAATTACGACCCATTGCTATGGCAATTTCAACGTGCGGATCTAGCTTTGGTGTGATGGTAATGTTTCCTGTGAATACGTATTTGATTAATTTATCTGGATGGCGTAATACTACACTATTACATTCCGGGCTTTTTGGTTTAGTATACTTTATTGGTATGACATACCGGCCGCTGCTTTCCTTGACAGTCATAAAAACTACAGAAGATCCTACACGCACTGTAACATACTTGCCAAGTTTATCTACTGCAGGTTTAAAACTAACAGCTTCAGGTACGAAAGCGGATAATTTAATACCAACGACGACAGAACGATTGTTCAGTGCCGTTTCGAATTACAACTTCCCAACAGCGGCAGCGATAGTTGAAGAAGGTACAGCCGTGCCTACCGCTCAACCAGGCCCATCTACGACGCCAGTGTCTAAACTTACTTTACTAGCTCATGGCCCCCAAAGCGCAATAAGTCGACATCAATTAAAACAAATTAAGGATATGATATCTAGAAGTAATATTAGAGATGTAAATCAGGGCAATGCCGACATTGAAACGGAGACAAAAGAACCTGAAGTAAGGCCTGGCTATTGGAGAAGGTTATTTCATTGGGAAGAACATGTACCGGAATCTCGCCCAATGTACCGAGACGATGCGTTTTACGACGGCAAAATAGAAAAGTTACCTATTTACCAGAAAAGTATGGTAGACACAACACCAGAAGCAAAAACCGGCTTAGAGTATCAGCTAGCCGTATCGAGAGCGGCTACAACTGCCGATATTCAAGAACGACGAGGCGTTTTTACTACGGCAGCTAGACGTGTTTTGGCGACAATGATGGACCCTAAATTACTGAAACAAACTTCGTTTATGCTGTTGTGCGCTTCTGCCTTTTGCGTATATGTAGGCTTTTTGGTACCATACGTTTTTATTCAAAGTAGAAACTTAGAAGCCGGGGTGGATTCAGATCACTGTGCGTTATTTGTAAGTGCGATTGGTTTTTCGAATGCAATAGGAAGAATAATTCTAGGTATTCTCGCTTGTAAAATTGATCCGCTTTACATGTATTCCGGATCTTGTATAATAGCAGGTATAGGTACTATAGCATCCGGAATATCATACGACATACATTACCAGTATGCTTATTGTTTTGTGTTTGGATTTTGTATCGCCAGCACAGCATGTCTAAGAAGTATGGTCTTAGTGTCACTGTACGGTTTAGAAAAATTAACAAATGCTACAGGGATGCTCATACTATTTCATGGCTTAGGCAGTTTAGTTAGTACTCCGCTCGCAAGTGTAATTCAGAGTAGTTTTGGATATACCTTTGCTTTTTACGTCTCTGGATTATTTATATCCATAGGAGGTTTTGTTTTGTTACCTATTAGGTTAAAATCATCTTCAAAAACTAACGAAGTAATAAATCAAAAGAGGACAAATGTAAATGGTACTACTAGTAAATGATATACTAATTAGAATATTCATATTAGCAATACTCTAGTGTGTAAATATTCTAATTAACTTAGTAGTCACTTTTTTGTACGTGTAATAAATAAATGCATTGTATTATTTTATTGTGTAAATTTTTCAATATTTAATAAGACGTTTCGAAATAAATCTAAGAACCCTGTGATGAATTCTTTTTTAAAAAACAATTGTTTCCCCACTATAAAATCGTCTATTAAAAAAATAAAAATTGAAATGAATTGGATAAGGTGCTTTTCAATAACTGTTTTCTAAATAATTAGTTTGGTATAGTCTGTGATAAACGTGCGTTTTAATTGGCGTTTAATTACTAATAGCAACCCCATAGGTTCATGTTCGAGCGCATTTTGTTCTGTCTTGTCTGCAACCGGCCGCCATACTCAAACAAAAAGGTTGAGATGAAAAGATAAATTTTTATATCTTGAAAGGTGTTGAAAGTGTTTTAATTTACTAAATGAGTTCTAAATCAGACGTCAATAGAAGAGTACTCGCCATTCAGGCGAAAAAGAAGCGGCATAAACTTGGTAAAAAGAAAAATCGTGAGGAGGACCACGGCGCTGCTGGACAAGGAAATGGGCTGCGCAATCAAAATCAGAATCGACTAGAACCAACACATAGCTCCTCCAATGAAACAATCGAAGAGGATGAGGACGAACAGTACGCTAGTGACGACGAGGAGCAGGAGGATAGCGCGGATTACTGTAAGGGTGGATACCATCCTGTCAAAATAGGAGATCTATTCCTGAATCGCTACCACGTCACCAGGAAGCTGGGATGGGGTCACTTTTCTACTGTGTGGTTGTGTTGGGATCTCGTGGACAAGCGTTTTGTAGCGTTAAAAGTAGTTAAATCGGCGCCCCACTTTACGGAAACCGCTCTAGACGAAATCAAAATTTTAAAGGCGGTTCGTGATAGTGATCCAGCCGATCCCAAAAGAAACAAGACGGTTCAATTGTTAAATGATTTTAAAATTACTGGTGTGAATGGAACCCATGTTTGTATGGTCTTTGAAGTTCTAGGCCACCACCTGCTAAAACTAATACTCAAATCTAACTACAGAGGTATTCCACGTGAAAATGTTAAAACTATTATACGACAGGTGTTAGAAGGATTGGATTATTTGCATACCAAATGTAAGATAATACACACTGACATAAAGCCTGAAAATGTGTTGGTTTGTGTTGATGAAGCTTATATTAGAAAGCTGGCTGCTGAAGCAACAGAGCTACATTCCCTAGGCCTGAGATTGCCCCATTCCCTCATTAGCACAGCACCAAAGGAGTTTCAGGAGCCTGTAGTCACTTCAAAAATGAGTAGAAACAAAAAGAAAAAATTAAAGAAAAAGGCCAAACGTCAATCCATGTTACTTAAGAAGCAAATGGAACAAATAGAGGAAATGGAAGAACAGAAAAAGGTTGAGAACAATAGTGAGTCAGCTCCAATGTCCCAGGATATTGATGATTCCCCTCAAACACCGGAGGAGGCGAGTGTTATTGAAACTACACGGTCGGATATTGAACCCAATATTAACGGTTGCAGTGACTTACAAAGAGCTGATGACGATGCATTTGATACAGATGCTGAAGCAGTGCAAGTAAGAAATAAGCAGTATAACTGTGGTGATGATCCCGGAACACCTATGTCCGAAGGAGAAATGACTGATACTCCACCCTCCTTCAACTCTCAAACTAAGGACAAATTGCTTGATAAAAACCCTGATCCTGCATTTGAAGTGTGTGACTTAGAGGTCAAGATTGCTGACCTTGGAAATGCCTGTTGGGTTCACCGGCACTTCACTGAAGATATCCAAACAAGACAATATAGGTCATTAGAAGTGCTGTTGAGTGCAGGTTATGGTACATCGGCAGATATATGGAGCACTGCTTGCATGGCATTTGAACTTGCCACGGGGGATTACCTATTTGAACCTCATTCTGGCGATGGCTACAGCAGAGATGAAGATCACTTGGCCCATATAATAGAGTTACTTGGTGATATCCCCAAACGTATTGCTGCCTCAGGGAAATATTCCAAGGTATTTTTTAACAAAAAAGGCGAGTTGAGAAACATAACAGGGTTGAAGCCTTGGGGCTTAGTTTCTGTATTAAAAGATAAATATGAATGGAGTCAGAGGGAAGCGGAGGAGTTTGCTGATTTCTTGAAGCCTATGTTAGACTTTGATCCCAATCGGCGTGCGACGGCCTACGAGTGCCTGCAGCATCCTTGGCTGATGACGAGCCAACCTGAACAAAAAGAGTCTGAGGAATAATTCTTTATCGCTCTCTGTTATGAATGGTCTTCATTCATAAAATCAGTAGTGTCGACCCACTAAGTATTTGCATGTTTTATGTTCTAATCAAAGTTTATTTATGGATTTGTTTGTGAATAGTTCAATTCCTACCTAGATTGTTTTAATAGATATCCCTAATTCCATGAATGAGCAGATACTAAATTGATGCTATATAAAAATATATATAGACTTTCCTTGCAATGGTAGCAATGTATATAATACAATCGCTGCTCAAACTAGTTGAATTGTTTATGTGGTTATGATTATTGGCATACTAATTTTAAAAATCCAAAATTTCCTCTCTTGTACAGATAGCTTTAGTAAAAATTGTGATGTATGATGACATATAGACAATATAGGGTTTATCACATTAATCTCTAGGACTCTTAGCTCATATAGCTGTGCACCTAAACCACCTAGGATGTGAGAAACCTGAAGCAGTTGTATGTCATGTAGCAACTCAGGTAGTAGATATGTTCACATAGTATAAGTTTTGTTTTTTTTTTATCACTATCACAATAAAAATCTCATAATGTAACTTAGAGATAAGACAGTATTTGTAACGCCACACTTCCGAGACTGCCTTTTTGTATATCGACGAGTCATCTAAATTTAACAATGGCTGGAGCTGGCGACACATGGGGCGGCAGTGACAGAGACCTCTCAACCAGTTACTAGATATGTTATTTATCATAGGTCCCGATTTACACGATCATAATTTGTAATAATTATATCTGCAAATTTACATGAATAAAATTTCAAAATGAGCTTGTTATTTAAGTGTTTACATTTATTTTCATTATGGCTGCTCCACTTGCGATGTGTTCTTATGAAGGTTAATTTTAATATTGCATTGATGAATATGTAGTTAACAATACGTCTGAATAAAATAGACTCAAATGGTATAGAATTGCTAAAATTCATTCAGTAATGTTTTTTTTTATGACAGCCAGTTAGAATATTGTGTTTCTAAATAAGTACAAAATAGAAAATTAATAATTGATCTTTGATTATTTAAAAGACCAAGATTAAATTTTATATTTACAGAAAATGCTTCCCTCTTTCGTTCTCAGAAGTACTTTACTTCTAAGATTAGTTCCCAGTGTTTTTCATGTTATAATGTATAGGTTTTCACATAAGTAGGTGAGACCGGAAGTGATATTGTTAGGGAGTTGTCGACAGACCCTGCCCGGCTTATTGTGACAGAAAGAACCGCGTCACGGGCTGTGCACACATTCATTACAACTAGAGACTACTCAATAAGCAATGTAAGAACATGAAAACGCATACGTTTGATATGGATATAAACCAACTTACCTTGGTATAAAAAAGGTATAAAAAGGTAAAAACAACGATTTGTATAGTTTTAACCGTGGAAACTAATCGAAGGATATGATTCATTTTTAAATTTCAAAGTAAACGAAACGGTTTGGTTTTAATAACACGTTTTTGAATGGCTACTTAAGACAATGGTCGTATTTTCCTTAACATACTAAAATACAGAGTGTCACATAATGTAATATGTGATATATTCGTCACTTCCGCGTTTCCTCGCATTCTTTAGGTGTAAGTAACTTCAAAAATGTCTAACTGTATACAGTTCGACATTTTTAAAATTAAGAAGCACGACATTTGATTGGTCTGTCGACCATGTTATCTTCGGTTCTGCTAAACATTTATTAACTTTCTAACTTGAACTGAAACTGAAATTTTTTTTAGACTGCAAAGTCAGAGTTTAGTAATGTGTCCCTTATCCGAAAATTCCGCTTTTTTAGATTTACTTTTCCGCAACTAATGAACGAGGTACAAACTTAATTGATCTTGAGGAAATTTCATAACAATGTGTATTTTAGACCAACTTTAATGTTAAGGGAAAGGATATAGATTATGTCGATATTGATATGAATACTTGAATTACTTCTATCCGAGCGAAGTCAGGGCGTGTTGCAAGTTGGAATTTCTATAATCTCGCTTGTCGACGCGTATTTAAAACATTGACGAAAACGTGAGCCTTTTCTTTGTGGTATAAATGTAGACAAAACGCTCGATTGTGTGCGTAATAACAGGTAGCGTTTATAAACTCACCTGGCCCCTCATTGGCCCCTGTGTTCACTTAAAAAAATATACAGATTTGTGGTCAGTGGATATACAAATTAGGCTCTATTATCTTACTATCATATTCTTTAATGTAATAATTGTGGTTGAGCCAAGATCGCACCGCGCGCAACCTCGATTTGAAGTGCTAAATGCGAATAACAACCCAATTCGAGGTCCATTGGAGCCTTTGATTTCAGTTGTACTAGGGATTAGGCCTCAATTTGGTAGTGCCTTAATAGGTTTAGTAGATAAGATTAATTAGGTATTCTTACAAAAAATCCATCTGCCTTCTGCGTTTTACGTCTCAAACTTGAAATTCTAGATGACTCAAGGCAATTAGAAGTTTATTAAGTGTTATCAAATGTTGATTTGCAACAATAAATTTGAAAAAAATGATTTAAAACCGATTGTAATCGTGTTAATGGATGTAACGCTGTGTGTTTAAATCTTTGTACGATTTAAATCTTTGGCGACAAACGTCATGCTCTGAAGTGTATAAGGAGAACAATAGGTGCTACTACATAAATATCACGTGTATCGTATAGCATATCACTTGCCTTTGATATTTGAATTATGTGTCTTATCTGTACAAAGAGCTTAAAACTTACTAATGTAATAAATAAATGTTTCACCTTTTTCACATTAAACTGCGATAGCTATCTATATTGGTATACCTCTGACAACAGATAAAAGCTGGGGAAATGATATAATAGGGTTTTTTTTATGCAGATGAGCAAGCCGCCGAAATCCTCCAAAATAGCGAACTGCGGCCCATAAACATCCGCAAAAAGGATATTTTTCTATGCGTACCTACTTCCGTCGTTTAAACTTTCCCCCCCCCCCCATCCTTTCCTTATACGAAAAGGGTGCTAAGGAAAAGGGAACTAAAGTTGCCTCATTGGCCTAGCATTATTGATATAGCCAATACTTTGAATCCACAAAAGTAGGAGAAGAAAAAATTCATATGTAATCGCAATTTCAATATTAGGTACTAATTTGTCACCTGAGTTGATTGGAGTGGGCTATCTGAGAAACAAAATACTGCGATGACTGACTGACTCGTCAGAGATTAGTTCGTCGGAGTAAACATTCTTACAACAATTAACGACAAGTGGCGACGCATCATGATGCACAGTTTAAATTGTCATATATGATATGACAGTGGAGCTGCAGTGTATAACTGTTGATTGCATATTTTTCTAATTTCTAAACTAGGGGATCTGTAGATAGTTTGAGTGACTCCTAACTACAACTCTTAAAATATAACTACATACTTGTATGGGCGCTGTCCGTCGACGATCAAGCCTAGGCCGAAGGAGGTAGTGGCTACTAGCGGTATTAGTATGATTTTATTCGTAGTATTTTTAATGTCTGTTTTAGATTTTTCGGTCCCCTTTGGGGTGCTTCTGCCCCTATATTGGCGTAGAAAACTCGCTCAGGGTGGAGCCCTAAAATTAGTCTGTGTGGTTTTGTTTTATACGACTTTGTGTCATTTGATGCTTTATCTTTCCTGGTCTATTCTAACGACAATTTGTTATGATACCAGACAGTCATATGTGATGGTTTTTATGTTAACTGTTGCTAATTAGGGATTACGAGTTGTAGTTACTTAGCAAGATCTTATTAGATTCAATTATAATTACAAAAACAAAAGAAAACGGCATTACTTTCACCGTTTGTTGTGGTCGAGAGGTTCGGTCGTTCAATATAAAGTTATGATCATGAATAAAACATGTCTTAAATTAAAATGGAATTCAATTTCATTTCAAAACAATCTCAAGTATTATCTTTCAGAAGAATTTTTATATTATAAGCTCAATTCGAAATATCTTCCTATGTGAGAAAATGTAGTTACCTTTTATTAAGTTTTAAATTTTGGTATCTACGATGAATAAGTGCATATTTAGGTGCGATTTTAAAACAAATATTTTCGTTCTCTGAGTATATCGCAAATGTAACAAAGAAACGAATTTCTAACACAATATTTTATGAGACTAGGTACTCTGATCACTAATATTTACTAGTTACTACAAACGACTACATGGTCAAAATAACATTTATATATAGACTTAGCTAAGATAATCTATAGGTCAATGTATTAGTTGCCGAATGCGGAAAATTGTGAATCCGAGGCATTGGCTTATGTCCAATGGTAAATTGATACTGGCTGATGATGAAAATAAAATAATAATTGGATTTTTTTATTATTATGCCAAGATTGTAAATTGAACAGATTTTTTTAAAACTGTTGCAAAATAACTGTTACGATATTTGAAAATACATATACACGCTATTATAGTTTTTTTCCTCCTTTTTTTTAAATGGATGAAAATGGAAATGGAAGAGGATGGTAATGGACATGATATGATAGTTAATCATAGATTAAAGATTGTGAATTCATCGTGATCTATTACATTATAACCGATATGTAGTATTATTTACGGATTTGTTTATATAACATTATAGTGCAGTGCTATGCTGCATTTTTAAATTACACCCAATTTAAAAAGAGACATCTAGTTCACTTTTATAGCACTAAATCTCTTATTCGTCACGCTTTATTGTTTTTTTGAGCATACACTAGATGGCGCATTAATAAAAAGAATAGAAGCCTATTTGTCGGAATAAAAAAATAATTTTGTTAAAAAAATAAAATGTTTAATTATTTTCTTGTTTAAATTATTTTACTACTCATATTTGTTGGACTATACCCAATCGCAGGCGTAGTGATTTTGTAGACATTTTGAGAAGGTAGCGTGATGTCACATCTCGCAAGAATCATGTTCTTGTGCACAAGTAGTAGGGAAATGTAAAAAGATCCTAGTTTTCGATTTGACTTTCAGTGTCGGTTTCTATCTATATTTGTAACTATGCTTTTTCTCATTGATACCCTGATGAAACTTTCTATATTTTCTTGCTAAAATCTCCCGTCGGAAAAGCGCCATGTTAAACGTTTCAATGTTTCACAAGACTTGTCTTTTATTTAGCGAGATGTTTTTCCTAACGCAGTGACGTAGTGAGGATGTTGGCAGCTGGCGGAGCTCGTGGTGTTGGCAGTTTGGCAACCACCAGTCAGACCGAAGCCGGCTGGATGACGCATGCGCGCCGGCCGACCTCAGCCCGTCCTCAACCAGTCGACGTTTCGCGCCACGCAGTCCTACATGTAAATAAATTCATTTCACGCTTACTGAAGTACGCATCACTTTCGTTTTCAGTTACAGTATCGTGTTTACGTGTCTGACTTTGTGTTCGTGTTGTGTTTGTCTTGGATTTTGTTGACGGAGACAACTTTTATTCGGTAAGTATAGATAAATTTAAATTGCGTTACATTTAAAATTTTACAAATTCGCTATCGTTTTTGCCCACTTTACATATTCATATTAATATTTATATGCCATTGTTTACTATTGATATCTAGTTAATTCTAAGAGATTAATTGATACCGATTAGTTTTCTTTCGATGAAAACCTTATCGTGACCTTGACCTCTGACCTAAGTCAATGTCCGCGAGGAAGTAGTGAATATTTTCAATTCAAATAAATTCAGATTTCATATCTTTTCCTAGCATTTACAAATACATAGTAACTGTTGTCATAATTTTAGTTAAGTATTTTCATAGTTGTGCAAGATAAATTATTGAGCTAATATTAAGTTACTAGTAAACATGCTTGTTCTAAAACTAA